ATGGCGTGAAGTTTCTCCTGGAAGATGCTTGGTTATTTACCCCAACTTTCAAGGTACTTGATTCTAGACCCTTACACTCCTATTCGCTTCTTATATAGTTTATATCTTACTAATATCCTACTTTAGTTTATTAGGTAATTTATATGGGATTAATTATTTTTGAATTTAATTTATAACTACTACCAAAAATGACAGTTTGAATTTACCGTCAATTGTCATTTCAGTTCCAACTCCAAACACAAGGTGGTGTTACTTTTGTTTTATAAGATTAACATTGGCATGGGGTCTCTAGAGGATAGGGTGCTTTGTGATTCATTAAGTTGACCCAAACTGCGTAGGTGTTACTTCTCTTAGAGCATCGTTCTATTCAGAATTGATAATTATACCATATAAATACAATAGTTATTGGTTATTACCTACATCTATCACTCTGTATCTCAAAAACAAAGAAACATAACGAGTAACAAAAGCCGTATCCCACGTGATCTGAAAAGCCATAAATCATCAATAGCCGTTCCTACAGTGACTTTTATGACCTCATAGGTATCAGTCAAATAGGTAGGTGACATTGTTTTAGGGTTACTGCTGAAGTTATTAATGTCGCTTTCAACCAACTGATCACATCAATTTAGTCACATAGGATACGGGTATTCTTAAAGACTCTGCATAAGAATAGTGGGCATTTTGCTCAAAAAAGAACACTGGTAAACCATAAGCACATGTTTTTGACTAGTCTTCATTAGTACAGCACAGATAAGTTCAAAAGAGCATGGAACTTTCAATGCAAAAAGTTTATACAATTGTGTAACACCTATTTATGATTATAATTTATTTACACTATATACTATTTAATTTTTGGAAAATTCTAAAAATAAAAAATCCCTAATTTCCTCTACGAAATTACGAAAACTATACAGCCTCATATCCCCAAAGTGAAAACAAACTAAAGAAAAATTGCATTTAGAAAAATTTGCATTTATTTTTCGGATCCAAAACAATTTTCTCACTTCACTTTTTTTCAGTAATTAATTTATTTGTAATGAAATACTATTTGAATCGGTGAGTGAAAGAACAGTACAAGTGCCAAAAACGGCCATTTTAACTGAGATAGGCAAATTGTTTAAAATTCATAGGCCTATCACATAGCGAAAGAATAATACACAGACCAACATCATACGAGCGATGGGGGCTTGTTCAATTTTCGGTTGAGTGAAAGAACAGTACAAGTACGGCGTATGTACTGTTTTTTCACTCAGTAGCCATGTCGTTTCGTAGACAAATTTAACACAGATTTCAAAAACTGGTGGTCGCAATTTTATAAAAAAACCTCTAAATCAGCTGATGAACAAAAAGCTAATTTTGTCATTCTACAGTACAGCCAGTTTACTTACACTGGTAAAACTTCTGGATATGTTACTACAAGTGCCTTCATAGGCGGTTTTCTCTCGCACACTTTTATGTGTGTGGCGCATTAGACTGATATCAAACCTAATGCCAATCTGCAGTTACCCTTATGGCGGGCATACACGCTACGGTCTGTCTGTGCAGGTGTGCCTGCACAGGTAGACATGTACGCTACGACATGAAGCCGACCTGCGCAGGCATACCTGCACAGGTAGGCCTCTCCGGTAGACCGTTACGGGTATGCTTGCCATTAGAAAAGGCATACTCAGAAGTTGTCCCTATTAACGTAAAGAAGATAGCCAATATAAAGATACTTTTATTCTACTTTAGTGATGAAATCCTAGAGTTTTACTACCATATATTATTTCTTGGAAAGTCAAAAATGAAGATTCTGATTAAAAAATTACAAATAAGTTTGTTAAATAATAATCAATAAAGCTACAAAAAAAATTAAAGCATTTTTTTAAATTGAGTGAAAGAACAGTATAACTGCAAGTCATTTTTTTCAAATATCATATTTTGCATAATTTTATTTTTAAATTTATGTACGTATTATTATCGGTTAACATAAATTCTATAACTTCACAATACATAATTAGGCCGAATAACCCATAGTTCTCTTTTAAAACAGTTTTTTTTGTTTTTCTCAAAATGGTCATTTTGGATATGTATTGTTCTTTCACTCACCGATTCATTTATATTTCACAGCTATAATCTAATTTATATAACAATTGGAATATCCATTTTCTACTGTATCTCGGCTTCAACTGATTGACTTCCACGGCAATACAGCCCATTTATATATAAAATGGTGTATGTTCTAGATTTTTCTTGCACTCCCCATTTAATAGACTGGTGTCTCCGGCAATTCCAGGATCATCCATTCAATACATTTTCCAATGTCGCGGAGGCATTACATATAGGCCAAATGACATGACATTGAATTGCTACAATCAAGATCTGGTGGTAAACGCTGTGTTTTCTTTGTCTACTGGATCCATTATCACCTGCCAATATTGAGACTTCAAATTCAAAGTAGAAAATAGTTTACTTTCGGCCAATGGTAACATTGTTTAACTGACGATAATCCAGTAGTCCCTTCCTTTTTCTGAACCAGGACTACCGGAGAGACCCATGGGCTGGTAGAAGGTTGTCTTCCTCCATTTCCTGAATAATCCCTTCAGCTTCCTTTCTCTTGGCCTTTTGTAATTTTCGAGCTGATTGACAAACCGGTCTGGCATTACCAGTATAAATTTTATGTTTTACAACAGATGTTCTTACTGTTTTTCCTTCTTTTAATACAAAAATGTCACGATATCGTCGAAGAAATTCCTTTATTTTTCTTTTCTCAAATTAATTCAGAGATTGGCCAGCAACTGCAATCATTTGCTCGAATTTGTCGTTGGACTAGGTCTTTTCCTTTGCATCGAAAGTGTAGCACTGAGCTACACCACTTCTGAAAATATTGTTCCGTTTATACAAATTGTATGGAGGGGTTACCCCCCTCGGTACATAACAAACCCATTTGAGTAACACCTCTAGTCTTATATGCTCTAAGGGCTAAACGGAGTGATTTCTGCATTTCATAGTCACGGAATCCATAAATATACGGGGCAAGAGAGAGGTCCGACACGCCCAACATAGGGCGCGGCCATTTTGAACCCTATGATACAGTTTATAGCTAAAGAATCAGATCGCTCACTCTGCGTCGGCACTTTTATCTCAATGTTCCAGTTTATACACTGCGCAACTCAGATAATACAATATATGACAACCGCCTATAATAAAACAGCAGTCTTCTGCGTATCCTGAATTTGTATCCCTGGAGTGGATGTTATTTTGGAACTTTCAACTTGTCCGAGTGAGCTAACTGATTCTTTAGCAATAAACTGTGACTCCAAAAATAATATTCACTGACACTGACAGCAGCAAGCAAAACATCAGGTGCGTTTTAATCATCCGCTTCTGCTTCCGGAATTGTCGGTTCAGAAAACCGACAATTCCGAAGCAGAAGCGGATGATTAAAAATATTGCGCCAAGATGTAGGCAACACGTAATAAGGGTTCAAAATGGCGGAGTTTTCTATCTCCTTTTAAAAGGCACTCAGAAAGCTGCGCAGTGCGACCATTCTCCGTATAGTAAAAGAAAATCAAAGTATGTGATCAACAGATGTTTTGACAGCTGGACATTCCATAATATGCATTTTCCTTTGGGGTTTGGTTCCGGTTCTAGTTAACCAAATTAGAACCAACCATATTCCTTTCATAAACAATGACGTCACTTATAACCATTTGGTTAACATTTTTGAACCAGCCTCGCGAGTCGGTTCTAATTTGCGGTATGTTCTATCCTTATTTAAATAGTATTCTTCTCATTGTCTAACTTTTTAAATTTAGTTTTCCCGCGGAACCTAAATAGTTCCGTACGAGGTCAACTAAGAAAATAGATCTTACTAGACACTTTTCTTATAAATATGAATAAGGAAAAAACAACTTAGACAATAATGTTAATAAAAGTAAAATATGTAGTGATCGACAAAACTTCCTAGAAATGTTTAGTATTCGAGATAAAATCTTCAAGGGCGTGTGTGTGTTTATTTTAACACCATTAAGATTAAATCTTGGACTGAAATGAGATTCAAAAAATGTGCCACTATTTTTCAAAAGAAGATTATCATTCTGTTTATCGCTAGAAAAAGGTCTGCATCGTTCGTTAAATGCTTTGTCGGTAGTGTCGGTTTTATTTCTATTTTATTTTAAAGAGTTTTAAATTAGTTAGTATTATTTTCGTCTGTTAATTGCCCTGTCGGTAGTGTTTATTTTATTTATATTTTATTTTTATATTAAAGACTTAAGTTAGTTAATATTTTTTCTTCTATATCATATAGCTTTAGTGTTTTCTTTGACAAATAACTAACTACACACAAAAATTAAAAGAAAATAAAATTGAAAACTAACTTTAAAAATGAGTCACACGTGGTATTTAAATTTACACCAAAATGACATATGACTGACCGAACCAATAACCCAATTCATTCCATTGGCTTTTTGTTATGACGTCATCCATATGAACCAAAATCTGAACCGCTGTCAAAAATACTGTCAATTTAACGTCAACCATAACCAGAACCATACGTCAAAGGAAAACGACTAATATTTTCTGAAGCTGATGGCTAAACAAAGCGTAACAACCTGGCAATTATCTAATTCGTATTCTTGAGTCTTGTCACGTTTCTGTGACCTGTGATTGATACAAATGATCCAAGTATTCGTGGCCATGTCGCAGGTTTAATCTCGTTTTAAGTTGTTCAAAATCATCTGTCTCTTCCACAGACATAGTCTGAAGAAAATCAAATCATCAATTTATGAATTTTCAAACGTGTCAAACGTATTTCAGAAACGAGTAACATTTTACTCAGTTTTTCTCTGTTCCATTCTTAATGGGACACCCTGTATAAAAACGCTTTTTAAAATAATAATTAAAATCGTTTGTTTTAAACTTGTAAACCTTTTGCAAAACCCTCGTAGATACATTTCGAATTATAACAGCGATTTGGTTGCTGAAAAATCGAGGTATCGTAGGCCGTGACTTTGTGAGGTTATGTATTATGTGGAAAATTTAATAATAGTTTTGTTCGTGAATATTGAATAAATGAATATTTATTAATCATATCATTTTGTGTGAATAATATTAGTGAAATTTATTCTAAATTGTACCTTTTATAAGTTTCTTCAATTATGTCATTGCTAACAAGATTATTACCAAGTTTTTTGAAGTAAGTTTACAGGAAAATCATAATTTTGAAACCATAATATGGCCTATTTCCTGTCAAATAAATCAAATCAACTGATTCTACGTTAGTAACAATAAAATTACAGTAATCATTATTTGTTGCAATGCACATTTTGAAGGTAACATAATTTATTTATATTTTAGTGGATTGAAAATTACATCTGTTCAGCCATTTGCATCTTTTCACTCACTAACTGCTGATAAAGCTATTCAAACGAATCCAGGAGGATTGTTCAATGTTATCACTAGATCCATAATTCGAATTCACTTCCCAAGACCATCAGAAAGGAAAAGAATTAAAAAGCACGGATGGGACACCAGGATGAAAACTGCAGCTGGACGACGAGTTTTGATGAACAGGATTCTTAAAGGGAGATTTGTGTACAGTCATTAGGGTTATATATGTGTTTTTGTAGAAAGTTTTAGGTATAATTAAATTGTTTCTTGTAATAGTGTTTTTTTAAATGTTCCAATTTATATGGAGTTAGTTGTAACACATTTAAATAAAATACTTACGACATTTTAAATGGTTCCATTCAGAGTGTTCTGAAGAAAAACAGGAAACATTTTTAATAAAGTACTTAATTAAATTCTATTTTTAACCAACTAAATGCACTTAAAAATGATTTAATAATTTTTTTTAATGACAATTTGCAGATAAAAATAAAAGCACAAATAATATATGATAAAAATATTTTGATTAACATTATCATGCAACTATTTTAAATTTTTTTTTCTTTACATTGATAAATTTGAGATTAAACTTATTATATTGTTTCTAAATTAGCAAGTGTGTTAGGTACATTCACCAAGAGACATTTATATATTTTGTTGATTTTTCATTATGAGAAGATATATGCAAGTAATATATTTTATTGATTTATATAATGAAATGTAGGTCCTCTAACTTTGAGCAGAAACCTTAGTATTGAATTAATTGTTAAAAAATTCTATGAGCTTCAGAAACTGAGAATCTTTGGTAGGTATTCAGTTAATAATAAAATGAAAAAAATCGTAAATCAGAAAAATTAAAACAATCATTTAAAGACAAACTTATTCAGGATGCTTTTTTCAACAATATAATGTGGGTTCTAGGCTATATTGAATTTCTCATAATTTGTTGTAGTACTATATTTGGAGGGCTTTGGACTGACATGGCAGGGAACATGTTCAAATTTATCACTTACTACATTCTTGGGTAAACGAAATAGCTCTAAGCTAGAACTACAAGTTGTACCCAATTTTTAAATTCAATACCTTCTTGTCTCCCCAGTAAACATTTTCATATTTTCTGCAATTGCAATGCACACTTATACCATTTATGTTGATAGAGTGAAAATAAATTTGAAAGTAGCACCACCTACACTTAGTAAATAAAATCAAAGCTCGCTTTAGTACCCAGTTCAAAGAACAAGGTGAAATCAAAGCCAGGTTAGCAATTAGCAGAATATAATATTTAACTAATAAATGTGAGTCGTTAAACATTTTTAGTACCATAAAAATTTCAAAATGAAAAATTGCCACCTTTTTGTTGAATTTGTACATAAGTGTGTGAAAATTTTTATCAAATATTAAGCTAAGCGCTTTTGCCTTAACAAAGCCATCTTCAAAGCCGTCTGTGATACCTTCCACATGGAGTCAATCAGATTAAACATAGATTTGTTAACAACAAATACAATTGAAAAACATTTAGTAAAGACACTGAAGACCAATTAATCACGTTAAAGGTATAACATTAATAGTGAATTATACTAAATTGTAAAAATAATACATGTTTTAAGGCACAACAGGTGACAAGCGCTTGTGTACACCACTCTCAGTCTTCTTATTCTTTTTTTTTAATGTTTGCTGGATAATAACAAATTGTTGCTGTACGTACAAGATAATGTTGGACAGACAATACAGCGAAATGCTTTATGTATGGTCACCCAATAGAAGATTTTACCATTTGCAAAGCACTTTAGCAAAATTTTGCCCTTCAGATACCACGGGAGGTCCAAGATATAATTAATAATGTTAAAAATTTTATTTGTTCTATGCCTCAACCGCACATTTCTGATTCATCCAAAAAAGATCAACTTGTTACATAAATAACTATTGTAGTTGTCTTTATGAATTTTGAATAAATAATAAGCTACTTATATTAATTTTTTTATTAAATATCATTTACAGGTTACTAAATAATTATACTTGATGCATAATATCTACTTCCTCTAGAAATGTATTTATAAAAGTTTAAAAACAATATAATTTAGGTAAACAAAAGGCACTCAAAAAAAAAGAAAATACTGTGACTGTACCTAATTGTCAGTGAAACGAAAATTAGCTCATCACTAATTTAGCGTCATTGGTTTTGAATCTGTAAGAAGAGATGACTAATATTTTAATATAAATATTCTGGTGAAACAGTAACTGGGGCAAAACATTTTTAAAAACATCTAAACATTTCTACTTTTAGTTTTTTGGTCATCTTTATTGGATAAAATAAATAAGCTTACTTCAAAAAAATGAGTCAACATTAAATTTAACTTGCAAATACATTAAAAGGGTTATAAGAATTCAAAGCAAATAGAAATGGATATTATGAAAAAACTGAAAAATACACGGAAAAATGAAAAAATGAGGGGTGAGTTTGCTGATGATTTTTATTTAGACCCAAAAACAACTATTATTTCAAATCATCGATTCAATTTACCTAACCTGTGCGGCCTGGAGTCATCGTGGGTTGCTGTATATGGCTCCAGCCAGCACAGTTTTTGTATTTTTGCCATTTTATGTATAATAAACGAACATTTTAATGGCTCCCGGCCGCACAGGTTAGGTAACTTGGTTAAGTTTTTTATTTTTCTCATTTCCTTTATAATTTTCCCGCAAACCAATCCCCGATGCCTTTAGGCCGCCAGGTTAGGTATATTAGTTAGTTTTTTTTTTTTAATTTTAATGAGAATTCTGGAATAATTTGTAACGTACTTATATAACCTGCACTACTTTGTCCTGCGCTATTTTGTCTTGTCTGCGCTATTTTGTTCTGCGCTATTTTTTTCTGCGCTATTTTTTCCTGCGCTGTTTTCTCATGGAGCCCTAAAAGACTTTAAAAATTTCAGTAAGGAAGTATTTTTGCATTCTTAGTGCCAGTTGTAATCTGTTTAATGTCTTTTTCTGGTTGCAAAAAACTATTATTGTAGCTGAAGGTAATTTATAGGATAGTAAGCAATTTATTTACATTATTTAATTAATATTAATAATAGGTGTACTAATATTAGCTTGGACGTTTATTTGCGATCACGAGTGGCATGTAGTGCAGGTATTTTGCGATTGAAAGTGGAGTTTAGAACCCGATTCGCGATCACGAGTGGCATGTAGAAATATGCGATCCGGTCCGTTATATCTATACGCAACTTTAGGGTTAAAATTAATGGTGCATATTTTAAATGCAATTATTTTTAGTACATAAATAATTTTAAATAAGAACAATGATACAACCTGTATTTACGTTCTATATTTACCTAGGTATATACTTAGATTATGTTATATAGCACTTTAATTAAATATCGTTTACCTTTTAGATGTCCTATTTGGAATTACCCATAAAACATTAATTTTGCCTTTTTGTATAATGTACCACTACCACAACTAGTAAAAAAAGCATCAGCCAAAAGAATTTGAACATTATTTAAATTGATCAGGTGTGTTTATTCACAGCGTGTTTCTCAGCAAATGCACATGTACAAGAGTTCTTTCTGGCTTTTTAATGGCAAAATCCGATCAGGTATTTTGATTATTTTACAAAAAAAAAAGGTGAGAAATGTTAGTTAGTTCCGCATATGATTATAGGATGAGCAATATTTTAATGAACACACAATTTCTTAATTTGCAGTCAATTAAATCGGTAAGAAATACAAAATATCAATGAGTACATTTTTCTATAATTCATTTTATTTTCTTCTCGTTCTATTTTGACATGTACTCTCTAGCGCAGCTGTACTCAACCTTTTTTTCTTTCGGGCCACATAAATATGTTCGTTATGCTACAATATTTTTGGGTGATAACTAGAGTTGCCACCTTTTTGAAATGCAAATAAAGGACAATGGGTGATCAGCTTTAAATACTTTCTAAAAAATAAAAAGGTCCTCATATTGTTTTAATAGAGGCTTCGATTCCACTGCCCTGCCTGCGTGGAGTGCACATAAAAGATGAGCGATATATCGATACTGGTTACATTTCAGATTGAAAAGTAACTGGTATTGACATATCTCCCACCTTTCGTATGCACTCAGTGCAAGCCGTGCACTATATTCGAAGACGCTAGTATATTACATATTTTCTAAAAAAAAGGTTCTCATATTGTTTTAGTATACATACTTTCTAAAAACCAAAAAAAAAGTTCCTCATACGTTTTATTTGTTTTAATAATAATAATACATTTATTTTCAACAGGTATACGCACCCAATAACAGAAAATAATACATAATACAATAAACATGAACAGTACTTAATACCTATGATCAAGAACTTAATTAATAAGAACTTATAAATAAAACAATGCTATAAGAATGGAACTTAATAGTATGTGCTTATAAATAGTAAAACAGAAGAAAAAAATAAATGAAACAAAAAAAAATTATTAATTAATTAATTAGCTCTGTTTTTTCGATAAATGTCCAGGATTTTGTGTATGTTATCATTATTAATATCACAATGATTACATACTTTGTTATACATTGTGCACATATGAACTACTGGAGACTTAACTAATATATTGGTTCGGCAAGATGGATTATAAAAAAAAAGATTCATTGCGTGACTCAATTCTGGGTAACGAAAAGTTAATTTAACTCAATATATATGGAGAGTCAATTTGATTATTTAAAAGTTTGTGTTAAAAGAAGATTGATGCGTGGTTACGCCTATCCATCAGGGGTTCAATATCAAACATTTGAAGCAATTCCTCATGGTTAGTTCTTCTTTCAGGATAACGCCCATAAGTCTTAAAATAAATAAACTTCAGGAATTTTCTTTGTACAGCTTCAATGAAATATATTGAGTTCTGATAGATAGGCGACCATATTACAGAACAGTATTCCAATTGCTTCTTACAAATGTGATGTACAATAATTTAAAAGTTTCAATGTTAGCAAAACTAGATCAATTTCTAGCACAATATCCTAGCAATATGGCCACTTAATGTGAATTTGTTGTCGAATTTTATGCCAAGGTCTTTAAATGAGTAACAGCGTTGTAGAAACTCATTGTTAAGCAAATAATCAAATTCATAGGGCTCTTTGAGACGGGAAATGAGACAATTTTACATTTAGAAATATTGAGCTGTAACGAATTTTCCAAGCACCAACTGTTAACAGTATTTAATGATTGCTGCAATCTGTAACTATCTTCTGGGCCACTTATTTTACAGTAAATGTTTAGGTCGTCAGCAAACATGAGATGAGGGCAGTCTAATTTCGAAGATGGATCATTTATGATTATTAAAAATAATAACGGTCCAAAATTTGATCCTTGTGGAACACCTTAAGTAGGTACACATGGATGAGACCTAAACCCACCGTGTTTAACAACGTCCAAATAAGTATATAAAATCTTCCCTCTGGCAGTTCATTTTTTTGAAATGCCTAATACAATTTATTATGACAACCGCCTATATTCAAACAGCAGTT